ACGAGAGCGCCATGAACTGTGCGGCCCTTCCACCAGACAGTTAGTGCAAGAACGGAACAGTGGGAAAAAAAGAAAAAGACAACGAGTACTCAACCGAACATAGTCGTTAACATCGTCAAACGCCAAAAGGCAGATCCAGAACTCGCCGCGGGAACCAATTCCCCCACTAGAACCCACGGAAACCGACCGGCGTTTCGAAGCAGTAGGAAACAGGGCATTGTATCTCCAGATCCGTCCTCTAGACACCAGCCGGCGTAGGGAGTCCCTTCCATCGCAGGGTTAGGGCGGCAGTTCAACAGCGGGAGGAGGACGGGTGAGCGGAGGTGAAGAGCCAAGAAGGATAACAAGGAAGAAAATGATTTTATTTTCGTTTTACCATGCTTGAAGGGTATTTATGACATTTCGCTTGAAGGATCTAATCTACACCGTAGATTCTTTTCCAAAGTAATCTCAGATCAGATAACCTCCATGTGGTCCGGACCGCAAAATCAGAACCAATTTGCTTTTGAGTTCGGTTTTTTTTGGGCCATCTTGGCCCAGCCCATTAGATGTACCCGCTGGAGAACAAAACAATTGAAATAATGAATCAATAAGCGTAAATAATTTACTCACAGTTGAGAACCTAAATTTAGTTAGAATTAGAATGTATTTAAATTTTGAGTTTTAAATTTAAATATATTATTTATTTTTATTTAAATGTGATGCATTTGAATTCGATCTCAATACATATATTTGACACTTTGTATTTCAAAATTAAAATCGTATATATTTTAAATATATCATCATTTAACCTATAAATTTCAATTTTAAATTCTTGTATTTCATTAAAATAAAATCCTTCTTCAACAAAATTTCACACCAAGCTCCGCCAATTTCAACTGGGTAATCTATCTTCGACCTTCCATAAATCCTCCTCTCGATCAACCAGCCGCCCCTTCCCCCGTAGAATCTCTTTTTGGGTTACAAGTTTTCCAATCTAGTTTGTAGGCAAACTTGTGTTTTTTTGGTCGATTTAGCTCATCGGCAAACCCTCAACACATTTTTTTTTTTTTTTTTTTGAGGAGTAATTTTTGCATTGATCTTTTTTTTGGGGGAAATTCGCGCGATGGTGATTTTTGAGAGGATGAGTGCTTCAAGATGATCGAAGTTGGTTTGCAGAGAACTTGGGAATTAAAAACTGTATATATATTATATTAAAAAGAAGAGAAAAGTCATATTAATATATGTGTTGCTTCATAAATATATATATATAT